TCCACCATCCTTTCAACATTTTTCATCCCTTACTGGAGGTGTTTCTGATTGTTCTGAATCAAATGTGTCCCAGCACAGAGGGACCTCCTGAGGGACCGTCACCAATGTGCTGGTTTCAGTCATGTCCAGTCACACATAAATTCAAAACGCTCACACTGAAGAGAGATGAAACACTCCAAAAGCTACGACTGAATACAACGAGCTCACTTTGGATCAGACACAGACATCATGCAGGTAGATTGCTGCTGCAGCATTGTCAGAGGGATTTCTTTCAGACATGGTGCAGCTTCATGGTTTCATTTCGAAGTCTCACTTAGTGCAGGTCTTTTGTTTTCAGCTGAAACACATCAAGACTCTGCAGGAGTACATCTCCTAAACAAACCGTCAGCCTGATCTCTGTTGCCCCCGGCGCACCTGATTTTAAGAAATGCATTATTTTCTCTCTCTATTTGGATTTTAGTTGACGTGTGTCTCCAGAGGTATCTGCATAACACCTGTGTGTGTGTGTGTGTGTGTGTGTGTGTGTGTGTGTGTGTGTGTGTGTTTGGAATATGAAATTATGTAAATATGCAAAATCAGTATTGCCAAACAATTTGGCACATTGCTCTAAGATGTAATCTATCTTCTCCCTCTCTCTTCCTCCCCTTTCCTCCCTAACACACACACACACACACACACACACACACACACACACACACACATACAAACACAAATACACTTCCTCTCCCCCTCCCTCTCTCTCCTGTTTTTTTTACCCCACAGACCGATGTATGTGACGCTGGTTTTCAGTACAAAGGGTCAGAGGTACCTGCGGGTGGGACTGGCTGTCCCCTCTTTGCTCCGTGTCCAGCCTCAGATCCATGGTGGCAGAGGAGGGCAACATCTCCCCAGACCAGGTACACACACACACACACACACACAACACACCACACACACCACACACACAGACACACAGACACACAGTTGTGAAAATATTCTAAGTTTGTAGACATGCTAGGTACACATATTAGTGCTAGAAAATCATGGTAAAGTGTATTTTGCTGTATAATGTGTGACCTTTAAGTGCTGTTGTCATGGTCACCTCATTATCCTCCCACAAAGGTGCTATAATCAGCACGTCTGCCTCTCAATCAAACATGGAAATTTCTGTCATGGCATAAGGCACGATAGAGTCAAAGACTTCAAACCAACACGTCTCAGTCTGCAGTTTATACTCTGCATGGCTCTGCTCACTGAGTAGAAGCTTTAGTATCAGTGTAAAGGCTCTGATGACTTAAACATGAAAGTAGGACGTGCACACATCGAGTAATAAGACATTTTGAAAGAAGAAACTCGTCCCTGATATTATTCTCTTTGCAGAGTTTCATGATGGGAGGTTTGATATTCTGTATTTTACTGTAGTGCTCGAGCTGTGGTCTCTGATTAAATGTCTTTAAGCGTGTACGAGCTGATTTAAAGGATTTATTTCTAAAGCAGCAACCTTTAGATTTTGTCTTTACTTGATCTGATAACACGAGTTTGAGTTTCTCTCTGAACGTGCAGAACTCTTTTTACGATGTCGCACATCTCTGCCAGTCTGAACAGGAAGTTAGTTCTTCTGCCATGAAGGCTGAATGTCGTTTTTGTCTGTTTCAGTATCATTTAAATTCAATTTCTGGTCCCATTTAGTATAATTTGGTTTAAAGCATTCAGAAGTTGTTTCTTTTTTGTAGCTGTGTGTGTCTGAAAGCAGAAAGCTCACACCGTCTCGTTTTCCTCTCTCGTCGTGTCTTCAGGTCATCCTCTCCGAGCTCTTCTCCACGGGTTTCCAGCGCTCCTTCTCAGACGACGATGACCTGACAGCCATCGCTGACAGTGATGTCGTCTACGCCTTTCAGGCTCCGCCCCTCCACAGTCGTGGAGGCTCCTCACAGCACTCAGGTAACCATGGTAACATGTGCAGCAAGAACAGTGATCTAGTTTCCATCACTCTGTCCTGTTGATCAACCTTTTACCCTCCACTTTTATAATTAGAAAGACGACATGACAGCTTTTAAAAAGTGAAGCCTATTTAATGGCTGTGTTACAAGTCATAAGCCCCGCCTCCAGTTATAAACAATATTTTGTTTAACCGGCTGCTGGAAGTAAAAGTTGCAATGTAGACGTCTGTAGTTATTGTGTTATGGTTGTCACTAGGGTTGTTACTGACCCTCGAAAAAACAACAACAACCCATATATGGACAATTTAAATCCATGAAACAAAAATATACATTGCAATCCTCAAGTTAATCCAGCAGAGGGCGATGTCTGCCTTTGAACACTCTTGTTCAGGGTCGCGTACAGACATGGTGGATGTGAGGAAAGGTTCATTTTGTTGTAAAGACAAAAACAGCGTGCAAATATTGCTAGAGACTAAAGAACTACACATAAAGGAAAACTAACATGATGCAGCATTTAAAATGGTTGCTTGTCAGATTTTTTCCCCCATCATACAAGGAGAAGCAGATTTGAACCCCTCCACCCCCCCTCCCAAACAGGTGGAGGATCCACAGACATGATAGATATCAATAAGCAGCGAGCATGCTAATAAGCAACACTGTCGCAGCACACTTTATGCAATCTGCACATTTTGAAATGGCAGCTTTATTGTGAAGCAAAAACAAAAAGTTAGCTATTTATAAATCAAGAGAGTCAGAGGGAATACTGTTATTTACACAACACACACACACACACACACACACACACACACACACACACACACACACACACACACACACACACACACACACACACACACACACACACTCACTGTGACTTCCTCCTTTCTCCTGAGCCGTCTGATGAAAGTGATGAATGGTCCTCGGCTCAGAATAATTCATGAGATCACAGCGGAGCAGATTCCAGGATATCATAACTTCCATTCCAGTGGATTTATGTCGTGTTTAATGAAGTGTAGCTAAACTACAATTTACACGAGCCGCCCTGCTCGGACCACAGAACGCCGATACTCCGACGATACTGAAGATGATATATGGCAAGCATTTTCTGCGTAGTTAAACTTCGAGTGGGGAGGACAGATGTTTAGAGAGAGCGTTTAGAGGATCTAACACAAGGAGAACTCTCACATTGAAACGTGTTTAATTAATGGTCTGAAACAAAGCGGGCGAGTATTTAAATTAATTTGTTTCCTCATATCTGTTTCCTCATCCACATGTTTGACGGTGTATCAGACACCAGAACACGACACAGAGCTCTGTTAGGGCCGGTGTCCACAGACAGATTTTTGTTTTTCTACTCAAAAACAAAGTAGTTGAGCATCCTGAGCGCTGAAAACGCCCTCTGCCTTCAGCTGTTTTTTGTCGCTGCTCTCACAGCGCTCTTAGTTGGAATCAGTTCAACTTATGTCACTTCTCCATTACCGACAAAACCAAGAAGGGGCGGGACTTCTGATATCAGCTTTTACAACAATAACAACAGCAGCGGATGAGGGTGCTAGTCCGCCTCGTCTTTTGGAGGACAGAGTTTCCAGGTGTGGATCTGCTGATGATGATGCCAGGACACTTTACATTGTTTTCATGTTTTCTTGGTGAAATCTCCTTGAATTTAATCAAACATTAAGCAAATTTTCGTAACCTAGCAACAAAGAGGTCAGGTAGGAAGCGCTCTAAAATGGAGGTAATGTGGACGCTGTCTGTGTGGACACAGGCTCTAATACTGCTCTGCTGTTCTACAGCTCAGATAAAGAGCCTTTTGTGCTGCTGCTGCTTTTGATATAATGACGGCTCCACAGTGATGTCCATCCCAATCTGAAAAGCACTCTCATACGTGGAGAATACTTGTGTGTTTCACTAGGAGCATCATTTACATCCTCTACTACAAGATCAGCCAGAACATGGCGGAAAAATATCATTTCCAGGATCACAGAGTAACATGTAGAGATGTGATGATGGAGTCTGTATCACATAAAAATAATCCTCTGTTCCTCCTCTGGGCGAGACAAAAATCTGACTCTGTAATTTGACTTCTTCCTGTTTCAATCTTCCACGTCATCTCACACTGAGAGCACATCTCAGCCCATTCATTCCCATCTCTCTCTCTCTCTCTCTCTCTCTCTCTCTCTCTCTCTCTCTCTCTCTCTCTCTCTCCCTCACTCAGTTCTGCTGTTTTAAAATCACTCCAAAGTAGTTGAGTGACCTTCAAACTGGTTTGCTGTTTTGGCTTGTCAGAGAGAAAACCAGCTGTGAGAGGACATCAGTATGTGTCTGCTGACTGAGAAAACTGACACGTGTTGCTCCGATATCTCAGCATACATTACCTGTCCACGTTACCACTTCACAACAGGTTGAGCCTTTACCATCGTGGCACAGACATCAGGTAGAGCTGTGTGAATGTATAAACAAGATTCATCTTTATTCATAGATTCTACATCGTAGCCTACATCGGGTTTGTGATGAATAATGAGTTTTTATTCATCTGAAAGATGATTTGTCATATTTAGATCTGCTGCATGGTGGTGCGAGGGTTAGCGCTGTTTCCTCTTAAATCGAGGTTAAGACACACTTGTTTGTAGCTGCCTTTAATTAAACAGCTTTAATAAGATTTTAAACTTGTACTCTGCACTGTAATTGCAGACATGCTCCTTAGGTTAACTGGTGACTGTAAAATTGTCTGTAGGTGTGAATGTGAGTGTGTCTGGTTGTCTGTCACTACCGTATTTTCCGCACTATAAGGCGCACTTAAAAGCCTTTCTTTTCTCAAAAAACGACAGTGCGCCTTATAATCCGGAGCGCCTTATATATGGATCAATTGGTTAATTGGTTGATCCATACTGGTTGTACACGGCGCTCAGCGACACTGACTCGGATAATGACGAGAGGGAGCCGGGCATGTTGGATGCCGTACTCGCCCAACTGTTCAATTCGGACACTGAAGAAGAAGAATTCGAGGGATTCGTGGACGGGGAATGAACTGAAAAAGTGAGCTTTACGTGTTATACGTAACTGAACAATGTTGAGTTATGCACTAACGTTTGAATTAGCGGTATCAGACTGTGTTTCTTTTACGTGTTTACAACTGAACAAGGCTGGGAGATATTGTGAATATGCACATTAACGTTTGAACAACGTTGAGTTATTGTGAATGCACTACGTATAAAACGTAGTTTTATATATTCACAATATCTCCCAGCCTTGTTCAGTTGTAAACACGTTCTATTCTATGCGCCTTATAATCCGGTGCGCCTTATAGTGCGGAAAATACGGTATATGTCAGCCCTGTGATTGACAGGTGAACAGTCCAGGGTGTAACCCCGCCTCTCACCCAATGACATCTGGGATCGACTCCAGCCCCCCTGAAACCCTGAAAAGGAAAAGTGGAATAGAAAATGCTGAAACTCCCATGAAAGGCACTTTGTGGAGTAGTTGAAGCTCGGGGGAAGTTTAGGGGTTCTAACTTTCTGAGATGTTTTACTCGGTTGCCCTTGAGCTCAGCCGCTTGAAACCCGAATGATGGAGGAGTTAATGAAGATTGAGGAGAATTGATTGAGGGAGCTGCCTGCTCAGAGTGAGGCCGACAGAGAGAGAAACAGACCTGTTCAGACTGCAGCTTCAAGCCGAGATATTTACTCCTCTGGGACGTTTCACTGAGGCGTAATGGGAGGGATGAAGTGATCCCAACTTTGTACCGTGTTCAGAGGAAGTAACAGAGGCGTTACAGAGTTCAGCTGAGCTAGCGGGAGAGCGCAGTGTGTGTGTGTGTGCATGTCTGACTGTGTGTGTATGTGGAGCTCCCACTGTGCCGTGCTCCTGCAACGTCTGAATGCTTATTCTGACAAATAAACCGGATGTTTTAATGTTGTTTTGGTGTCTTGACTTCCTGTCCCGCTCGATCTCTGCTCTGTGGTAAATTGATGCAGCGCCGTGCTCCGGCATCCGGCGATGGAAACAGAAGCAGTGCAGCGGGGGACATGTGGACGAGCACACAGATAACCGTACCGACTTTGAGATGCAGATCACGTCTTGAAATCGACAGCAGAATCTTGTAGTGTCAGATTTTTATTAGCCCTCGTCTGCTGCTCTCTCTCTCTCCGTCTCACATGACGGTGAAACAGGAAAGTCTGCTCCTGAGCTCGACTCATATTCAGCTGAAAAGCAAATGAAAGCCCGCTAAGTACACTTCCAGTGCAGTTCCATTAAAGGCAATTACAGGTTGCCTAAAGCACACTCAGTGCAGAGCAGCAAAAAAATAAAAAATACTCCAGTTCTCTTCACAGAGGAGCTCTTCTCCCTACATGTAGAGTCTTTATTTAAAATATCCTGAAGACAATAAAGGCGGAAAAGAAATCTGATGTGTCTACACTTGGTGCTCTGATCGTCACATCTGCATGTGGATCTCTTTTTTTGAAACAAACCATGAAGATCAAATCAGAGGAAAGGTGAACTCCACATATTTGAGGGATGCTTAAAAAGAAAGGGAGCATCAGGTGTATGCTCCTCCGCTGCTGCCCTCCTTAATCTGTTGTTTGGCTGATGGCAGGAAGCTCAGGTGCTTTGCTGACAGGAGGAGGTGGTCAGAGAGCTGCTCCTTATTACCAGGACCTGAGATGTGTCTGCGTCTGGGGATAATCCCACAGCCCCCCCCTGGGTATTTTTAGCCAGGTGTGTGGCTTGCTATGACAGTGGGGTCTCTCATTTTTGTCTGGAAAAGAGCGTCGGTGTGTGTGTGTGTGGCCAAAATCCTCTCTGAGGTTTTGTTTTTTTGTGTTTGTTTCACAACGTTTTTACACATTGATGTCAAAAACAAGCGTTTCAAAATGTGTCAGAGCTGAAACACTTTGATCTCAGGTGCTATTTAAATCATTGTTGCCTGAGCGGTTGGAATCCTTCAGAGTGGAGCGGTCGTCAAAAGCAGCGTTCACAGTGACACTGCAGGAAGTAACCTTTTAAACTAATTTAACAGCTTCAGGTCATACTCAACGTTCAGTCAGCAGATATTTCCCTCACTAATATCACAAAAAATCCCCCACCATACAGTGTGTGTCCATGAAGACAATAACTCATCAGTACTAATTGTACCAGGCTGTAAACATGTTTATTTCTGCTGTAAAAGCAGCTTTCTTTTGCCTGTTGTGTGTATGTGACTTCTGGTGTTCCTGCTGCCAGCCTCAAGTGGACACTTGATGAACTGCAGGATTTTGCACTTTCCACATTGGCTTCATTTTTTCAACACCGGAGTTTACCACTTGGTGGGAGCTAACTGTAGTCCTAACAGGAGGTAGCCTCAATACTGTACACACAATTCATCTTGTTTACATGCCGGCCATTTTCCTCTGACATCATGCTCAGTGTGCTGTTATAACCACAGACTGTATGAAACATCATTTTATTTTCATGCACAGATCCTTCTTTTTTCCCGTTCAGAAATACTCTGTATTAAAATAAGAAGCAGACACTGTTTTTTTTTCTACTAGCTGCCTTGGGAGAACTCTTCTCACTCTCTTGCTCTTTCCGCTGTGCTCTCTCTCTCTCTCTCTCTCTCTCTCTCTCCTCTCTCTCCCTCTCTCTCTCTCTCTCTCTCTCTCTCTCTGTCTCTCACTTCGCCCTCTGTCTGTCTTTCTCCACCCCACTCACACCTCCCAATTGCTGTGGCTCTCCCCTCTGCATCCCAGGATGAGGTGAGAATGAGATTCAGGCAGGAGGTTCTCCCAGGTCGTCTCACTCCCCGCCATGTAGGACACTCTGGTTATGAATCCAACAACTTCAATACTGACCTCAATATACAGGGTGGAAATGTATTGTTTTCTCAAAGTCCTTGAGAAAACACTAATTTACACTAATCATGAATGAAGTATGAATGTGAAGAATCTTGACTGAACACATTCATCCTCGTCTTTCAATATTTGCTTTTGCCTGCTCCACCTGAAGTGGTAATATCAGGAGTGTGACGACCACAAGGCGATATGCTACACGATATTGTGTTCGTGATCGAACGAGACGACACAATACTTTAAACATTTCTGTGTGACCGAATAGAAGTTTAAACAAACACAAAGACTTCATCATTTCTTCAGGTTCTTTAAAGGTTAGCACTTTTATGTTCTCACTCAGGTATTATCATTTTTTTGTTTAAAGGCTTAATATGTGATTTTTTTGATCCAGCAGATGTCGCCCTTGAGCACCAGTAAACAAAGTGAAGATAGGACTCTGAAAACTCTGAAAACATCACAGACAGTGGGACTCGGGTGTTACACCCATTGTAGACAGTCATGACTCACAGAGTTATTTTCAGAGGATATACTTGATTTATATTATATTTAAGTGTGAAAAAATGTGAGATTCCAGTTACACTCAGCGTGTGTGTGTGTGTGTGTGTGTGTGTGTGTGTGTGTGTGTGTGTGTGTGTGTGTGTGTGTGTGTGTGTGTGTGTGTGTGTGTGTGTGTGTGTGTGTGTGTGTGTGTGTGTGTGTGATGCTTGACGGTGGCGATGATTAATTGCTCTGCAGGGTTGGAACATGCATTCTTTAATTAAATCATTTGATAATGTCAAAGTTTACATTTCCTGGCAGATAAGAGGTTTGGCCGTCCCATTTCATCTTGATATCAGAGTTAGAAATACTCTATTCATCCCCAGGGTGAATAACGATACGACACCCACTTATTGTATTCCAAAAGTTCCCGACAGGAGCTTTAACTTTTCTCCACCAAAACTGACGCCACCAGTTTGATGAGTCACTTTTTTCGACTGTGAAGCGAACAGATACAGATTCTAGTTGTGACGTCAGCCTTTATTAAACTCGTTCTCTCCTGTCCTCTGCTCACCTCAGGGTATCACCACAGCCTCCCCTCCTCCCCCTACACCTCCACGGCCGGACCCGACGGTCAGAGGCTGCTCTCGTCTGGCACGCTCTCCTCTGAATACCTGAACCAGGGCGGCTCCTCCAAGGTCCTCTTCCTCATCTGCAACACAGCTGGATCTGGCCAGCAGGCTGTCAGGTGAGCTGCAGGCTGACGGATGCTCAAACTCTTATTGTTGCTGGTTCAGTGTTTTTTTTCTCTCTCAATGGTTTGGATTTGACCTGATGTTGTGTTCTCAGCTGATTGAGTCACAGAGCTACAAGGCTCCGTTCTTGTTTATTGATTTTCCAGCACATTGGGACAGTTTTGTGACTTTTATGAGGCAGTTTATCGAGCTTTAGATAAACTTTCTCCTGCTGCTGTGAGTCTTTTTTTTTTACAGTAAGGACAGCTTATTGAGTCTTTTCTCCTTTCATTAAAAAATACAATAACGATATTTGGTAGAAAATACAAACTCAAGAGTAGAACAATAATTATAATTTGTGTCGACTCGTCTCTACAGCCGGACTGTGCTCACTGAGCCTTTACATCGTCAGGACGTTTCTTAACCTCAAAGCTTTTACAGTGCTCACAAAGTTAATCTTCCAACTCTTTATATCTAGATGTGTTTGTATTTCTATTGCATTAATGCCACTGATGAGGCGGTTTTATTTAAAGGTCACATATTCTCCTCCTCTTCAACCAGTTTAAATAAGTCTCAGAGCTCCCCAAAACATGTGTGTGAAGTTTCTTGTTCTAAATCCACTCTGATCCTGTATTTGATCATGTCTATAAACCCCTCTATTTCAGCCCTGCTCAGAACAGGCTGTTTCTGTGTCTGTACCTTTAAATATGTAAATGAGCTGTGTCTGACCACGCCCCCTCTTTTGAAGGGCTTGGGTGTACTCTGTGCTTTCTTGCGCCGTGTTCTATTGTTTACGTTGAGAAGGCAGACTCAGAGGGCAGAACAAACACCTAGCTGTCGGAGTGTCACCCACCTGGGGGAGGGGTTACTGCCCTTTGTGATGTCATGAAGGGAAAATCTCCAAATGGCCTGTTTGAGCACACATTTTCTGAAAAGTGGAGTAGGCAAAAGACGGAGAGGATGGACTTTTCTCATCATTGGAGTGTTTGTAGACAGACTAGAGACACATATTAGAGTTAGAGAAACATGGTGAAGTTTAATTTGCAGAATGTGACCTTTAAAGCTCTTGCAGCACGAGTTCCCGTTCATCTGTAGCTTGAGGCTGACTGTGCAGACATTTGAGACTAAGTGAAACATTTGCTCAAATTGAAGCACTTAACCTGTGAAAGTTTCAATTACTCGGTTGCCATATATTCCCCAAACAAGGGTAGGCAGCGTCATTAAGGCGCTAAGCACCTACAATGCCTGTCTTGTACAACAAAAACAACAACAACAACACAGTGGGACAAACAGGCAGGGTGGATTATTTTGAGACAACAGACAAATCTTTTTTATTACTTTTTATTATTATCATGTCTTAACATACAGTACACATATTTTATATTCAACATAAGGATGACAATATTTTACATTTTTATAAGTGGTGTGGTGTCAAAAAGGTTGTGTCCCCCCCAGTGATGTGGAAATACTAAAAATAACACTTAAAATACAGAATGTTTGTTTAAAGTCGCTTGAAGTAAAACTGAGGTAGCTTGGATCTGTGTTACATAAATTCATAAATCTTTCCCTCCATCAAGGTTTTCTTCCCTTTCTCTACGATATTTAACATCTTTAGGAAGGGCAAACAAACAAATGAGTTATATAAAATGAAACAATAAAATGAAATTAAAAGAAAGAGAAGAAGAGTCAAAGGAGAAAGAAGAGAGAAAGAAAACAAAAAACAACAACAAAAAACAGACTTTACAAATCTATGTAAAGTTAGACATTAAACACCCCCATGCAGCTGGAATGGGATGATCCTTGTGTTCGACTATGAGACTGGAAGTCGACTGAGGCTTAGGCCAACACATCGTTGAAGGTTCAACTATATGAGGTCATCCCTAAGTCTACTATTCTTTTAGCTTGTATTTTAAACGGCACGTTCATGAGGATCCTCACAGTTCTTTGTTTGGTTTGTTCAAACGTCTTCAGTAAATGTAAGTCACTGCGATGCCCCTGAAGCCATTAAGAGTCATTATGTGCTTAGTAACACAGCATCATATTAATGAGAGTATTCATTTAACCGAGGGTGGACAGTAATCATCTCGTACTCTGGGGGGGGGGGGCTTACTGTGTGCAAAGAAAGAGTTCCCATTGCTTGACTTAAGAACAGGGGGCTCAGACTTCCCTGCAGGGATCGACTGAGTTCAACATTGTTATCGACAAATAAGAAAGGTGGATTATTCTTTTTTTCTTTTACCTTGATTATAGTTAACATCTTTTTCATAGTGTTTTCCAGCACCTTACACTTCTTATGAAATGTTCCTCTGTTAAAGTATAGTTTGTCACATTCTGAAAATAATTACTTAACCACAATTAAGCTCTAATGGCTTCTCCTCTCCTCTCCTCTCCTCTCCTCTCCTCTCTCTCCTCCCTCCCCTTCCTCCTCTCCTTTTCCTCTCCTCTCCTCTCCTCTCCTTTCCTCTCCTCTCATGTCTGTCCTCTCCTTTCCTCTCCCTTTCGTGTCCTCTCCTCTTCTCTCCTCTCGTGTCCTCTCCCCTCCCCTCCCCTTCCTCCTCTCCTTTTCCCCCCCTCCTCTCCTCTCCTCTCCTCTCCTCTCCTCTCATCCCCTCCCCTCCTCTCCTCTCCTCTCCTCCCCTCAGGTTTGGACCTCCGTTTCTCATGCGGGAGGACAGGAGTATCTCCTGGGACCAGCTGCAGCAGAGCATCCTCAGCAAGCTCTATTATCTGATGCTGAATGGATCTCAGGCTCAGGTAATGACCACACACCCGATAAGCAATAACATGTCAGCCTCTCTGTTCTGTGACCTGAAGACTTCAGCTCAGTACCTTTTTCACTCCAGTGGACCAAACAAAAATAGAAGATTAGAGCTCATTTAGAAGTTTGATCTGTTTTCAATTAGGTTGAATTCTTTGTTTTAATAAGTCTGCAGTTGTTTACCATTGCATCTGCCCCTTTTTAACACTTTAAAACCAAAGATTAATCAGCAAAAACATGTGTTTAAAATACCAAACAACGATCCCCGACAAGCAAAACCACTCCAGCTTCATCGGTTTGTCCAAAGACGGTTCAAGTGTTCTGCACAGGCCTCAAACAATAGCTCTACTCTGGATTACACACACACACACACACACACACACACACACACACACTGTCCCCACTGCTGGTGGCCAGGTTGCCATGGTGACAGACAATAGTTGAGGTAGCCTTATCCAAAGCGAGCGGCCCCTTGGCTTCATAAGAAAAAAGAAGTGAAGAGGAGGTGAGGGAGAAACTGATCAGGATCTGGGTTCATCGAGGAGCCGGTCTGACCAGAAACAAACTCTGTGAACCTCGTGTTGTCCTCGTGGTACTTTTAAAAAAATGATAACAACAATCAACAGAGCCCTCTGGATGTTTAATGTGCATATTTTATGACTAAACTCCCTCTGTTCAGTGATGTAAGGTCTCATTTAATTATGATGATATGCTAGTTTGATTGATTCATTTCTTTATTTCTGACATGTGGTTTGAACAAAAAAGCAATCAACAATACAACAATATCAGTCACCACATTCAACACAAACCAATCAGAACATGATTTAAAAAGAAGTAGGAAGAAGTTTACACCTAGTTCATCTTTCCTCTCTACTTTTCAACAACGACAACACAGATATCTCCTCAGTGTCAAAAGTAGAGAAAATAAATACATGAAATAATACATTCAAACAAGCTGTCACAATCTCTCCTCTTCCTGGTAACTATTGAAACATTTCTTTGGTACTATTTCTTGCACAGAATCAAGTTTGTGCTGTTAAATAAGTTGATGGTTCTTGAGGTTATGGTTAGATCACTCTCATATCAACAGGAAAGCATCACAGTATTGATTATAATCTTCAATCTGTATGACAGGCAGCGAGTGTGAGAGTACTTCATAGTGTCGTCTGGCCCTTAGTCTTTGATAAGAGATGTTTTGGCTCCACCTAGAGGTTTGGCTGGGGAGGTACAACTTGTAGTTCAGGGTATGAAAAAAAAAGAAAACAGAAAACCAGACACACATGAAGAAAGAAGAAGACCTGTGAAATACAGACAAGCAGGAAGAAGAGGAATGAATGAAAAGAGATCCGTGAGAAAACATCCATGTGTTTGTTTTTTCACCTAGCCATGTTGGCTTTTATGAGTTCAGGATCAAATCAATCAATCAATCAATCAATTTTTATTTGTATAGCGTCAACTCATAACAAGTGTTATCTCGAGACACTTTACAAAGCAGGTAATAGCAGGTAATAGACCTTACTTATTGCTATATTGCAAAGACCCGGCCTATCCATCATGAACGCCCTAGCAAAGCAATGAAATGCTTCCTCAGTGTAACTGCTGCTCATTAAAAGAGCCCACGCTTCTTACTTACTGGTGATGACCAGGGGGCGTGTCTGGACTTTTTTTAAGCTGGGGTGGCCCACCTGGGGAACTGACTTATGCAGGGGTGGCATGACGTTTGTGGGCACACCTATTAAAATGTATTTAATGTTTTTACCCTTTCTACCACCTCAAATGATATGTAAGTTGTAGATTTTGACAGCATATAAGTCGTCTTCATCTTCACTTCATTCTTTAGGGAGTCAAAAAAAGATTTTTGTGCATTCACAAGTAATAGTTTTTAGAAAATTGCTCAAGCTCTTGCACCCTGTCTAATTTACAAAAATAAATGTATTGTCAATTAACTCCCTTGCAAGTCAGACAATGTGCGAAAGTTTGACATTTTTATGAAATTGTCAAGTATTTATTTACTAACTGAAAGAGCTGCCATTAGCCTGTTGAAAACAGCCAGAACAGTTGATTTGTACTGAAGTCCCGCCTCTGATTAGGCAAACAGTCAATCATAGATTTTGATTTTTGAGGTGGCCATCTGATTGAATGTTGACAGAAGATTGATCAACAGGTTGAAAACTGGAGACAGATTCAGCAACTTAAGGAGGGGGCTTACAGGAAGAAGCCTGGGCTGGTTTATAAACTATAAGCTGTTTGTGTTCACACACACAGCTCGTCCAGAACATTTAAGTAGTTTTGAGCATGTTTGAAAATACCTCACATCTACATCAGCTCTCATTCAATATTTAATGAAGGTCAGGATTCGTACAGTCCAGTTTCATTCAAAAAACACTAACCTCTAAATACCTCTTAATAACTGTTTGAGTGTCTGGTCTGTTCGTCCTCGATAAGGCCACTGCTTCAGTATTAACCAACTCATTTATTTCTCTTTATGCTCCACTGCAGCCGCCAGAGTGCATTAGCTCCCAGATTCTGCTCCCTCTCACTCTGCTCCCTTCTCAGGCCTCATGTCTGTGCTGCTGAGGCATCAGAGGAGCTACTTATTATATTCTCTCAGTGCTTCGTTTCTGTTGGAGTGAGGCTGAGCTAAGAGGGAGACTGCTAGAAGAGGAGGCTGTTACTTTTTTTTTCTTCTGTTATGGTGGTATTATTGTGACGGTTCTGCAGAACTCAAACCAAAATTAAAGAACGGTTTGGTTGACACAGAACCTACAACTTACAACAACTCTGCAAATCCTTATATGTGGTCTTTCATTCTTACACGGTTTAGTTAAATACTTCAATACCTCATTTACAAAAATAAATGTATTGTCAATTAACTCCCTTGCTCCCTTTGGTTGTCTAAATTTTTGATACTAGGATTTCGTTATAGCGTTGCAAAGTACCAAAGCTTAAATAAAAACGTGGCATCATCAGTGATATTTTAAAACGAGTATGTAATATACCTGCTGACTGAAATGATAAAGGTACCTTACTATATGATCAGACATTAAGGAAACATGCTATGTTGAAGTGCTGGCTTCTCTGACAACAATGCAGCAGCCAGTATGTCCTCCTTCTAACTTTAGATTCTGCTCCTGAATGCTCTGGATTTGTTTGGACCAGAGCAGGAAGGCGGTTTTAAGACACCCCCCCACCACACGGCCGTTTTGGACGCCCCCTCGGTTTGCCAGATATGAGAGCAGTTATCAGGTCAACAGGTGTTGCAGTGATGGAAGCGGTCAAGAGAAGTGGTTCAGATAGAAGTGATTGTACCCGACCTAAAAAGCCTCTGCATGTTTCTAATAAGCTCCACGAGCAGAAACGTGCTCAAACTAGGATCAATATTGGAGATGCTTTTGAAAAATGGAGAGAGGTTAGAACACAGAAAGGTTTACAGACCCATGCAGAGCTGGATAAACACTGAAGCTTCAGAGTCCACCACATGGCAACCTGTGTGAGCATCAACTCTAGAGAGGAGGGGGCGGGGGGAGACAGCGCTCTACAATGTTCTGAATTTGAATTTAATTCAGACAGCATGAAGGATTTAATCTGCATTTTTAGTTATTTAAAAACAAGGACTGATGTAATCCTTCTGTTGCAGTAATACTGACTCAGGGATTGATATCTTTAGATTTTAACTAGAATTGCATCAGAGTTATATATTCTGACAACCTCGGGACATCTCCCCGTCTAACAGCAAGTGAAGTGAAAGATCAAGCTCTTTACTCCCCAGCTTATAATAGATCACATGTTACCACGGAAACAATAAAGACTGTAATTACAAGGCAATTAAACACAACACTGCTGATACAGAGTACTTTGTTCTTAGCATATGAACACTAAATAACTATCTTATATCTTAGTGTTTTGTAGGAAGAAGGCATTGGGTCATTCTCAGTGATGTTATTAATGTGTTGAATGTGTTGTGTTAAATTTATCTTCTCGTACATTTATTGGCCTTGTATCCATCGGTCTTCTGCTTCTTTTTATGCTTCTTTGTCTGTTTTTTTGCACATTTTGAACTACTGCTGTGGTTTAAGGTTTGTAAGCCCTCGGGGGGCCCCTTACTTGCCTGGGGCCCACAAGCAGTTGCAACACACATAAATCTGGTGGTTCCTGATGTTCTGGGTTACACCTCGATTATCTCTGAGTATAAAGAAAGGTTGAATGAATGATTTAAAGAACTGACATACTTTTCTTACCACGTTTATAAAAAAACAAAGATACAATCTTCTTTGGATAACTTTTCATACACAATCAAGTTTGGATGTTTTTTTTTTTATTCTTCTTCATCTAAAAAGTGTTTCTCTAACTGTGTCTACTTCATTCATTTCAATGAACTTTGACTAAAATACAAAAAAAAGGCCTCAGGCTCAGACACTTCAGCTGCATTAGAAACTAAATCTTTCAAACTGACCGACGGACATTATAAGGAGGCGTTATATTGCAGGAATGTCGCATCACTTTGAGTTTGTATTTGTTGTGTCAATGATCACCTCTCATCTGTGAAACTTACTGTTCATAGGAACCCCCTGGAACCCCCCAGGTGCTCACTTTCCAAGTCTCTGTTCAAAGTTCTCATACCGGCTTCTCTTTGAAAGTCGTATGTCTAATGCACTCTGAAGTGTAAGAGTTGAATTTAATGGTCTTAGTTTAAGAAAAGCCTCCCTGCCAAAACCGATACGTCTGCACCGCTCTAAATCTTTATTGC